AGTTGGGGTCAATGCGACTAAAACAGAAATTAAAATTCAGGACACTACTTTTCAAAACGCGTTACTTGAATAAAACTGACCAGACACATTTAATTTACCAGACTATTGAACAACTAGGAAAAGTGAAAACAAAACTTCTTATCACCAACATAAATGCGTAATTAGTTTTTTTTACCAAAAAAGTAATTTTTTACTTTTGATTAAGTAACGCACCGTAGAATGCAGATACGGGCATGACAAACACACCTTTGAAAAGCTTGAAGTCTGGCGATTCCAAAAATATATACTTTCCTGGGTCTATTTGTAGTCATTTGGTCCCAAGTAAAAGATGAAAACAAGTATGCAAATAATAGTCCCACTACCTTAAGTCAGTAAAATTCATGACATAATTGTTGAATTGTACACATAGTACTATAACATCCAATCAGAATGTGTTGTTATCAGTTAAGATGCTCAATATATGCGTAGTACTGTATTTATGTGTTATATACATGTTTTCCAAAATGTGACACAGAAGGCTTGAATGAATTATAACATAGCTATAGACATATATCTGTAGATCGGACAAATGCATTCAGTGGGACTGATCTACCTAATAAAGAAGTCGTCAGTTTTTTACGTTTTTTTTTTTTTGAGACGACTGGGATTATGGCATTTAATTGGGGATTTGCATATAATACAGACAGTACGTGCCGCCAACACTGAACGCTAATGATATCGCCAAAATGTCGCACTGTGATGGGGGTTATTGTGATATCAACTAAGAATAAAATAATACTAACGGCGTGCTGCTTTATTTCAATTGCATCGTCCCCCCTCGCTCAACGTAACACTCGCTACCAGAGATTAACCTAACCTGTCTTCATAGACGTAAGGAATTTCGAAACACTTTTTACGAAGTGTAAGTTTCAATCACCCAGTAATTTAATGACAACTACATTATTTAAAATGTTTTTAACATATTTGTTTCAATTACGAGAACCGTGACTGAAGGTTAAAAAATATAATAAATAAAATGTCAACGCGGGGTTTCTATTTAATAAATTAATAGAAAAAAACACATATAAATAAGTTGACTGAAAATAAAAATGAAATCACGTCAACCATTTAATGAATAAATGTCAATAGATTGTTTATACTACTATATCAAGTAGTTTTTGTAATCGTAGTTTACTGGGAAAAGGAATGATTTGCTTCTGAAATAAATTAACTGGGTAGAAGTTTACTCATATCTCTGTTAAAAAATATCTTACCAGTGGTTAATTTGAGTATTAGTCGTTATAGTACAATATTGTGTTGTGTTGCGTTGGGTTGTGTTGTGTGGTGTGGTGTGGTGTGGTGTGGTGTGGTGTGGTGTGGTGTGGTGTGGTGTGTTGTGTTGTGTTGCGTTGTGTTGTGTTGTGTGGTGTGAAAACAATAAGTTAAATATTATGCAAAAGACATTTTTATAGAACATATTGTTAAAGCTTAGAATCATTTAAAACCTATTTCTAAAAATAAGATTTAAAAAAATCAACAAGTGCAATGTCAGTTACGATATATAAATTATTCATATTGAAATATTTATAAAATATCGTTACCATAGGAACCAATTATAAGATGGTTACAAACTTGACAAAATGGCTGCCTTGGCTGTAGTTTGAACCACCATTTGCTCGAAAAATAGTTCGACGACCCCTAGATTTTATGCAAATATCCTTGGTTTCAGAGTACAAGATATTGAAATTAGCATCTCTAGTGAAGACCCTGTCTCATAGTGTTGACCCTGAATTGTCAATTCTCATTACTTACGGTCGGGACCCAAAGAAACGATGGAATCATAACAAAATAAGTGGAATATATATGACGAAGATACTACAATATAATCCACAAGGTCGTCTCGTTGACATGATGCAGTATCAACGACTACTATTTCATAATCATGTTGTTTATATAATATAGCAAATCGTACATTTTTTTCATGCAGGCTTGACACGTTTATTTCAAAACAGCGAATACAGTCAATGGAATTTTTGAAGCACTAAATTACAGAATAATCAAATTATACATTATATATTAAATTCTAAAACATTTTCTTTAAATACCCGACGCCGTATATACAACCCTATTATTAAGGAGACTTATTAATTGTGCATGTTTGACACGTGCGCATATCTTAAGGCACTTAACAGTGACAGCAAGATATAGCGTGAAGTCGGCTTACAGTTTAATTTATGTCAATATCTGTCATCAGTATGTTGCCTAGTTCATTGTAAATCGTGATTTCTACATAATATACAAAAACATTATAATTTAACAATATGTTTTATATTGTCCTTAAATTCTCCCCATTCGGGGTTGTTCGTCGTCAAAAAATACTTTTCAAGACACTACTTATGTTTTTTCTTGAAAAAAATAAATAAATGTAAAATCAGCTAAAACCAATACTACTGGCTTATTATTCTACATATATTAGCGGCGATTAAATAAATCACTTTCAACAGGTACTGATCAGTACTGCATGCCCCCCCCCCTAATGATTAAATTTCGTGTCGTCGGCGCATGTGTTTATAATTTCACCACTCGTACACTCTCCGTGTACAATAAACACTTTTATTTTGTCGTGAAAGCCCGTCTTGCCAACACGTATATTGTATTTTTGGTGCACGTTATTGCAGTGTACTGATTCTACAGATTTGAACTCAACTGTCGATTTATTACATATATGTTTTACAAAACGGATTAATAGCGGAAGCACCTGTTGTTTATCACATCGCCGCACGTTGTGCCAGTTAATGTGAATACCAGCCGTTTGTTCACCATTACTGTGAGAAAGATAGTCTTACGGCTTCGATTAGACTAGAAGAGAACTGCTGCTCATATTTAGGTTTGCTGATCACTAGATATACACACAGTTTTAGCGCTACATTCCACATAAAACCATGATGCACAACTACAGCAACGAAAGTGACAATTCGACACTGAGATTTGTTGATGCGGTGGAGCTTGTGGAAATATTCAAGATTATTTTTGCAGTCGTGGGAATCGTAGATAACTTTCTGATCTGTTTAATATTCATACGTGTCCGCAAGATACGCACTGTAACTAACTATTTCATAGTAAATTTGGCAGTAGCCGATTTGATCGGATCGCTGTTGCTTATGCCTTTCCCGTTTCCAACTAACATCGGACCCGGTTTGTTTAGCGAAGCGTACTGTCAGGTTATCTGGTCCAATTTGCTCTTCTGGATAACAATCAAGGCGTCGATTTTCAACCTGGTTGCCGTCACAATTGAACGTTACTATGCCATCGTATATCCAATCTCTCACCAAATTCGGTTCACTAAGAAAAAGGTTAAAATCGCCATTGCGTGTGTTTGGTGTGCGGCCTTTCTTTCCAACATATTCATAATTTACCATGTACATTACTGGGACGGTAGATGTGTCACGGGATGGTTAGATACAGGGAAAAACTCTCGAGCCGCTATAGCTGTTTTCCTTTTCCTCCTGACGTTCTTCATACCTGTATTCATCATTATCGTAGCATATTCACGTATAGTCGCATCTCTTAAAAAACAGTCTCAATCGCTCAATGGCCAGATGACAGGCGTGCGCCGTGGAAACTGCAGTCAATCGATTCTCCATGCGAGGGAGAACGTTGTCAAGATGCTGATGTTGGTTGTCGTGGTTTTCATAGTATGTTGGGCTCCTGATCAGTGTTTCTACTTGGCCTATAATCTGGGACTTTCCTCAAACTACGTATCTAGTACACTTGGAGAGTTCTTGGTCTTATTGGCATATTGTAACTCGTGTATAAATCCCATTATATATGCACTCAAAAATAAACAGTTCCAGCGAGGTTTCCATGTTGTATTTTCGACAAAAAAACGTGTGTCTCCTGGGAATACTTCAATGTGGACAGTCACGGCAGGTCGGAAGATCGAGCAAAGCGGCACAGCTTCCGTCTGAACAGTCAGTCGTGCAGGGTCAATGCTGACAACTTACAGTAGTTAATTGTGAAAGTCACATTGAACGACAAGAGAAGTGAGTAATTTGCTTCTGAAAAAATCTAAAAAATTGTAAACCATACGTTCTAAGTATGCGTATTCGAGGAAGGAAATAGCAGGTATTATTTGTCACAATCTGGTATTTAAAGTGTACCAGATGTCACTGTGTGCTTTAACATGTACAAGTTACGTTAATTTTTAAAATGTATTTTGTGGGTTAGTCTCGACCAATATGAAAAGTGGGTTATTAATGTCGCAGGCAATGAATTCGTTGAACCATTAAAATCACTCATATATGATGTCTGTATGTATGTATAAAACTGTACGTTGAAATTCATATCTCAATTGTCCCTATGATGTGCTGTTTTCTGTGATTTGTTAAATAGTAATGTTCTTCGTCATCCTCACAGCCATATTCACTTATATCCTAACGTAATTAATAATAATAATTGTAATATAACTGTCTCTATACAATTTGTTCCATCACTGTATTGTCACTATGGTTACTATGTTCCCACCTTCAAATCACTCAGAGATGTATTTATTAATTTTTTTTTCAACACTAGCGATTTCTAATTTTAGAACTACAATAGAATTATACTCACTCTTATTCCAATGTAATTGGAACCAGTCTCTACCATAATTGCTCCCGCCAATGTAATTTCCGTATTTTTTTTTTTTTATTTTTTTTGGAAAGTAAATCCCAACTGCGCAAATGATTGTTTGGTTTATTTCATATTATGACGTCATGTGACTGTATGGTTTTCATTTTGAAACTCTTGTAGTTTATAATTTTGAGACTACAACAGGATTGACGTAAGCGTATCGTCTGTACATCTGGCACTAATGTCGTTTGTATCGATCAAGTCTATGAAATAGGAAAACGCCGTCACGGTGAAGCAAAATCGCTGACGTAAAACAGAATTATTGCCAAAAGTCTCGGGTATCATGTGCCAGCATTTTACTCCCTAGCGGCGGAAACATGTTTTTTTACACAATAGTCTACAGTTACAAGAATTGTTTGTACACAGGTTTGATACAAAAATACATTCCTTCTAGACATTCTTATGGTAAGATGTGTTGAATTCAACATTAGTTGTTATTGTATTGCATGTTCTGTATTTGCATACTAGTATTTGAAGTGAGAAGCTGTTGTTGTATTATATGCTATGTCAATGATATGAGAAAATATAAATTCGAAATAAATATGATGCACATAGTACCCCTTTATTTAAACAAAAACTTGAAATTCTTGACATATATAAACAGTTTGAATTCCAGGTTGGTATTTTTTTTGATGGATTGCATGACAGACTTCCTTCACAGTTTGCAACTTATTTATTATTATTATTATTATTATTATTATTATTATTATTATTATTATTATTATTATTATTATTATTATTATTATTATTATTGTACACTACACCCGCGTGAGGCGCGATACTTGTATGGTACTTAGCATTAAATACACATATAAATGCGTGTTTGGGCTAACCGAATAACCAATCTAAAATACAATTACCGTATTCGCACTTTTTTATGTTGTGATTATTCACCGTTTTACCCTATTTCTCTTATTATGATACTCTTTTTCTCTGCAAGCGAACACAAATTAAGTTTCCCTCCGATGATCGCGTTTTTCGGCCACGTCAATACTCAACTTTATACTATTATAATACATCAACTTGAAATACGAATAAATGTCCATCTATAAATAAACAATTCTCAAACATTTTATTTTGTGTTTCATCGATGGAGTTAAATATAGAACGTCTAATTGTGTTTATATACTACTGAGAACCAAACATGTTTCTATCAACTCGTTCCCATATCCTTTGAATATGCGCTTATTCTTACACAAACAATAAATATTTCGGTTAGCGTTTCCACAAAACACGTGACCGCATTATTAATAACAAAACAGCAATGTGTGAATGTCAACCCATTACCTGTTCTATGGCATGGGAACAATAGGTAGATATTTCCATATCAAAATAGAACAAATTATGAATTGTAGATATTGATTCACATCAAATACACAAAACGACCACGACAAATAAAATCAATCAAGTTGAACCTTACTGTGATATTTAATACAAAAGACACGGTATACGCTACCGTCGTTAAAAACAAATTATTGTAACAATGCAATACGAGATACGTTGATAATGATTGACATATTCATACAGTGAATAATATAATGTGGGCACCACCGTGCATTGTATCAAATTCAAATAGTAAACTAAAATAAAAATTAGAAAAAAGGAATATAATCTATATAATTAAATATTTCATATAATATGACAGATAGTAGGAGTATAAAATGCCGTGTTTACTTATATTTTTTTCGATTCAAAACTTAAATCAGTTTGCTCGGAACAAGTGGCAATATGATGGTGAATCAATATAGTATCGCAGCATTGTGAAGATCGACAGTCTTCTCATCGCGTCGAGCTCGATGCGGACCCATACGATGTATACTGCACAAATAAAATACATTGAGTGAAATTCTAACGCCGCTGCTTGGCGACTTTAAGATTCGGATAGTTTGCCTCTAAACTGAGGAAAAAATGTATTCCAATTTCTCAGTACCTCGAATACAAAACGTCTTTGGAACGTTTTCGCAGTGTTTCACGCATTGCATCACGGGAAAATTAAATATTTGGGTAAGTGCAAATGTTAATCTTATTAAAGCTTAGAGTTCCACTCGGTTTAGCCGCTGAAAAACGTGAAATAAAAATAGGCCCACCATAGTATTAAGACATAATAAAAGTCGCATATCAAGTTTAAAATAAATGGGGAATGATCTGAACTTGGTTTCATAACTGACTCACACGAAAAATAAAATGCTGAATAAAAAACATTTAACACATTTAACGTTAAAAATAAATGGGAATGATCTGAACTTGGTTCCATGACTGAACTGACACAGGGAAAATAGAATGCTGAAATAAAGAAATATATATATTTTCCCTGAAAAATAGCAGTTGATATGGGCAAATAGTTCCCATTTCGTATTTTCGGCCGAACGAGGATAGTAAGAGTTGTATTTCTAACATTACTGATATGTTTTGAGGTTTAATATATTGGTCAATCAATATTCTATAAATTGTGATGAGTTGATGTGTTCTGGTGACGTGTAATTATACACAACATGAGTTTAAATATAGATGACACATTTAACGGCACGTGGTTACTACTCCCGAATTGAACAAACGCACTGCACTGTATTCGAGGTACTGTTACGGGTTCATTCATTAAGAACTTGAACGGATTTCAAACTTGAACTATGCGTGGTTTGTTTCTCTTACGTTAATGTTACATCAGGAGTCTCGTTTTTTATCACTGTACATGTATCCTTAGTGCATGTGTTTGTCCGTCCGACGCAGTTGTCATGACAACACCGACATACCGGATTTATCCAACAATAGTAAGTATCAATAAAACGAAAGAAGGAGTGGTAAGTGAATGCAGCGAGACTGTATTAATTTTTATTAAGCCACACGGCATTTAAACGTTGGGTTTTGTGAGAACACATCGCAAGTTTTATGTTATAACGAGGTACGGTTTCAGTCCGTGACCCGAGTGGGACGCAGTCAACGTTATGGACAAACAACGATGATTTCGAACATCATTCCTGGCGAAGGTGTGAAGAGAGGTTTGTAAAAAGGTTTTACGTCGGATCACTGTTTTCTGATTCTATCCTAGTAACCCTGCATAAATAATGGCGTGTTCCTTATCGGCTTTTGCTTATCGACTAAATGACTGCGCACTCCAGTGAATGAAGTAAAAATATAAAAATCACGAACTGATTTTTAAACAAAATATACAGCACGATAGATAATATTGGTATAAAAACATATATGGAATGTTTAAATGAACATATCGACAACTTATTGCCAATGTGTGTACGTATTCTTGCTGCTTTGATAGGTTTTATCTAACGAGTTTGTCCAAACACAGCGCCACTCACGATTCGTATTTGTCATGGTGCGTGTTTCGAAAAAGCGGCGTCTCACTGTCAACAGAAGACGTCGAGACAATGCTGACTCGTTGGTGGCGCCCTTGTCTCCTACTGTGATTCAGATCCATGTATTTCGTCATTCCCATGTCTCGCAGGAGACCACATATCCCGCGCAGATTGAAATCAACATGCCTGAGGGCAGTGTAAGATTCCGTCAAGAAACTGCCCAGTGTTCTTGTCACTTGTCGAAAGCGGTTGGGTCCGCCGGATTCCCACACTGGTGCGTGCACGGCTGCGTGTACAGCGGCTGTGAACACAGCTTTGACGCCTCGCCTCCCGTTTGCCGAGCATTCAAAATACCCGACAGCGCCAGTCTTTTTCGCAATCTTTGGTTGCCACGTGTGTGCTGACTGGGGATTCACTTTGCGTGTGCTTGTTGTCCGATTCTGATTCAAGCGTCTCTAGCTGGGTTCCAACGAGTACAAACGGAGTATGTGGACTGCATTTTTTAATTTCTGGTATCCATATATCTTTCGCGATCTGCAAAGACCTTGTAGAAGAGACAGAAAAACACACAAGGAATACATCCGCTCCCGAGTAGCTGATTGGCCGCAGACGTCCGAACTCTTCCTGAAAATGAAACAAATACAATAGTTATTGATAATACTGTATAAGTTGTGAAAGGGTTGACATTTTGACTGGTGCACATTTGTGATTATTTTACTCTAACTTTAAAGGATATCTGAGTATTATAATATAGGCAATCTCTCGGTGAATACGCACGGGCACTCTCTGAGGTATATGGAGTTATGTCGCCTATTACAAAACATACGGGCTGTATAACGAGCACTGATACATCAATGTCGTAATAATAAAATAATTTAGAATAATTTACAACTTGAAGTGGAGTCTGTTATTCTGTAAAAAGGAAATATTTTGCTCTTTGTTTCAGGAATTTGTCGCTTGTTTTACTGAACCACTTTATTTTAGTGTGAGGCAGGCAGGGGTCTGACCTTATGTAAAATCGTTGAACGTCCGTCGAGGGGCGGGGACACGTTTTTATTCACCATGTACATGTTTTAAGTCATTTTTAAAGAGTGGTGGTCGTCGCGCTGCGCATGTGCGACGTTTGTGTTGATAAACATTGATTTCCCCCACAATCCAATGCGCTCTTCTAATGGAAATCATGAGGTTTGATCTGGGCGCGGCTTTCACTAATTACCACTGGCGACTCCTTCAATATCTTCCAATCACCGAAAAAATACCTAATTAAACCTTGGTAACATCTCAGTTTGTAATCGTTGATCTGCGCAACAGTCAAAGTCGCCATCTTTGTTTGTATGAGACCCATATATCTCGCGCATGCGTGGCGCGAGGACTACCGCCCTTTAACCAAAATCATTGGGGTTTACCTATGTTTTTAACCGACTCGGAACATTTCTGGCCTGGTCACCTTCCTTTTATTTCGTGGTTTCTTCGCCTTTCTAAAATGGAGAAGGACGATGGACCCATGAAGTAAGAGAAAAATAACTAGGCAAGCATATTTCCTGAGAGTTATTAAATTATTCACGTTTACAACCACTGTGTGATATAGATCAGCTTTCACAATAATGAATATGCCAATCAAGATACCTCGTACTCAATTCATTCAATTCACATTACCACCACGACGATAAACAGAGATACCGGGTATTTGTGTCACTGTATTTAATTTTACGTACCTCACCCGTGGTATCCCAAAGTGTAAGTGAATACGTCACGCCGTCTACTTCCATTTTAACTGACAACAAAAAATAAACACAGAGTAATAATAATAGACTGAATAGTCTAGAAACGAGATTGACCGAAGATGATGACTGGCTTATGTCTACGGTGGCGCCCCGAAATGTTGGTATATGTTTCATTTACATGCATTTGTTGTGAGCAGAATGCGGCCTATATTATGAGTGCAAACAAATACATTATTTACATTTTACAGTGATTTCCGCTCTTCAATGGCTTTAGAAAGTGTAATAGGGTTGCCATTAAATTTGGTAGCGAGATCCATTACTGCGATTTCAAAGTGGTTGTTTTCAATGAACTCGCACGTTCGTAAATCTGTGTGCTGCCTTATGTAGGTCACGATGTTTCAACTAACACGTCGACAACTTTGAGGGGGTCATATTAGTACGTGTGTAACTCGTTTCCGCTTGGGGTATATACTAAAACGGGAATAAACCGACACCGTGACAGTGACAAAAAGCATTACACTAATCTACGTTATCTTTACAAATATTTAAACATATAATCTGTGCTCTAAACACACACACGCGCGCATTACGAACCGCAACAACCCGGAAGTAGAGAATAAAATATGGAAACTAGTATTTATTCAATGTTAATAATATAATTGCAAACGCGTCATGACATGCTTTCCAGCATAATTCTTTGCGGTTAAATTAGGTTTAATTTACTAGGTAATAAACTACTACATCGATTTCTAAATAGGGTCTCTTGTTGGTACGTACCTGCGTGGTATTCGAATAGCGTTGGGATGTATTTTGGTGGCCATTCTTTACCTTCTATCAACGCTGTGAAGCTGTGTAATAACAGGGTCTTCTCCGCTGCGGGGTCTCCGACGACAACACACTTCACAGAATACATGTTACGTGATTAAATAAGATATACATACGAAATATTATGATATCTTTGAATGACGTGTGTCTACGTGGGGCACACCGATTAATGTCACATCGATGCCGGTAGTCTCGCCTTTCTTCCGATCTCTGTCAGTACTTGGGACACGGGGTCACCTCCTGTAGAAAGACGAGGCTAAGTGATATGCGTAGGCGGATTGCCAACATTCACAGCGGGATTATACGCCATTGTACTTCTCCATATTGTTCACTGTTAGTTCTAGACATCCACCTACGGATGTGAACTTTAACCTATATGGCAGTAACCCGCGCGAATCAATGAAACCCAAATATTTTTGTTGTTGGGAAGTTTATTTGGTAGAGCGCCCCCAATGAACGTTGTTTTCCACATGGAAAACTCGTTTATTTTTCTTTCTCACGCTTCAGTGAATAAAAGATATGTATACGCTGATATTATCGTTCACCGCTGTTGTGCATATGTAGTCGATTTCACAAAAATATCTCTTATACTTGTACATGAATATGCCACTGTAATAAGAGCCACTATTCCGGGGAGTGTCCGGTATTTGTCCAAACGTCCTGACAGTGATATGATCAGGGGTGAGGTGTACACCAAATTTTAAAATACCTCAAGAAAACAAAACACATAAAGAAAAAATAATATTTATTTTGGGGAAGGAAAGTTGTTAAAGCACTGCACGAGCTGAATCCTGCCGAGCCACATGTCATTGTATGTTGTGTGTTTCCCGTAACTCGACGTTCGGTTGACAAAAGTTCGCAAAAGTTGACATGACTTTTAATATATGGGCGTAAACTCTAAAAAATCAGCTTCTCATTTACATCCCATTTGTTAACTGACTGACCATTTGTTGAATCTCAGAACCGCTGTAAAATATTTATATTTTTTTATAACTGTACATGTATTATTTTGTATATACTGTAAAACATGTTGAAAAAGCGGCATGCAATTTTAGCGAATTGTGGTAAAATGACGTAATAGAGATATGTTGATTTAGCGATTCTCTCTTGTCATTGTTGATTTCTTTGTTTGGCGGCCATTTTGAATTGACAATAAAGTCATTAGCGACAT